GTGATTACGTGATAATATTTACATCGCATAATGATCGCAGCGATATCGCAGAGATATCGAACTAATCAATGTCGATTAAATACAGTTACGACTAACTTAACGACGTCGAATCTATTTTTTATCAAAATATCGTAATGATATCATAATGATATCATTGCGATATCTAATCAATATCGATTGTAAACTCCAAGTTTCAGCAAAGTATGAATACTTGATTTACTAGACAAAGCAGTATGTTGAGACATTGTCTCCTCAAGATCTCGAACAGATTTTTTGGTTGAAGCAGTATATTGAGACATTGTTTCTTGAAGGTTTCAAACAGATTTTTTAGTTGAAGCAGTGTGTTGAACATTGTTTCCTCAAGATCCTGTATTTTACTTTGTGCTGCTTCCTGCTGATTTGATAAATCTGTTATATCACCTGACACTCCCTTAATATCCATTGATGTATTTTTTAATTGCCAAAAAATTGCTCGCATTTGTGAAGCAAGCCCATCTATAGTTGCTTTAAGCTCTTCTACAGATGATGTACTACCATACTTTAGATTATTTGGAAGGTTATTTCCAACTTCTGAAGGTTCTGGAATAGTTTCTGGATAGCTAATTACTTCAGTAATTTTAGGTATACATGGAATTCTGCGATTCAGATGAGTGTTTCTATCTTGAGTACTTTTAAAATTATCTTTTCCACATTTAGGACATGAAGGCAACATGGTGAATAATATTACAACCACTCAGTAAAGGTAAAGTGTTCATTTCTGATGTGTATGTTCAAATGGACTAATGGATGGATTGATGGAATCCTTAACATTATTGTATAAATGGCCAGATGAACAAATGGATGCCATTCCATCTAATGCTATATTTTTAACGTATAAATGGATGGATAGATGGATGGAATTCTGAACATTGTTGTACAAATCAAATGGATGGAATCCTGAACATTATTGTACAAATGGCCAGATGAAATACACATTAGAAATTATTAGAGAATATTCAAAAATTTATTAGTTTATGTTAAGAATTCATGAATGCCTGATGATGAAGTTACATGGTCATCAATCCTTGTTGAAAAATGGATACCTAATGAGTGATGATATGATTACATAGTTATCAATTCTTGTAAAAATCTGGACAAAAAATATGACTCTGCAGGATCATCAGCTTCCCTGTACTTATCTACCACTCTGCCATATACTTGTTCAGCTTCTTTATGCCATTTCCATAATTCGTCTCTACACCAAGTATACCAAGTGTGGTTAAGTAATAGATGTTTGCCAAATTTATCAATCGAACAGACAGCAATGAAGTTATCCACAATCTTAGGGATACTGAATGGGCTATGCTTTCTGCATTGCTCAAGAAGAATCCGCCTGTTGATAGCCATAAGATCAGAAACTGTGCAGCCAAAGATTTCTGCCAACTTTTCTACGGTATATGTCATTTTTTCGTTCTGTCGAATTGGGATCTAATTTATAGTTACCTAATCTTCAATTGCTGAATATATTTTTTTCAAAAATCCGCGCTCCTACCCGGTTACCCTCCTGTGGTTCTACAAACCTTCTAGGGGTTATTAACCTACCTGTTAACTCGGTTTGCTATCTCACTGCTTCTGACAGATGATTAGACTGAATCCTGATCATATGACAGATTTATGACAGAATGACAGATCTGGGGGGGTAAAATCAAAACTTTTTTCTGGGATTATCCTCTCCCAATTTTTCTGAAACATCTGTCATATCCATCATACTTTACTAAAAATGGCCAATTTTTTGAAATATTTTTATAGACCTAGATACAATGGCTTTCAAAACAATTGTGCAATTATTTTGTAAAATTTTTAAAATATATCAAGATATATTTTATTTATTTTTGATATTAAAATATTAAAATAATATCAAAGTTAATTATATTATAATAATAAAATAATAACAAAAACATTAAAAAATTATTGTGATATTATTTTAAGTTATTTTTATAGACCTAGATACAATACAATTACAAAATAATAGCAAAAATATAATAAAAACATTTTGATGTATTAAATGTATTTTTGTAGTATTTTAAAATTATTACAAAATCATTTCAAAAAATTGGCCATTTTTAGTAAAGTC